ACAAAAAACGACACTATCAGAGGTACGATAGCTCGAGTCAACTTACAGCAAAAAAAAAAACAAACGTCCGTTACGATCGGCAGATTTTTACAATGAATCTCCCGACGTGTCCCGTTCGACACCGCCCGAATGGAATGCGAGCGGGCGGGGGACGGTGTGACCTTGCTACGGTGCTATGCGCTTCGAACGTGCGTTAAGAATTCAATTTTCAAATGGTTAATATTTTGCCTAAACAATATTAATGACTTGCACTTTGCACATGTAATATTTTTTATTTTCTCTGCTCGACCTAAAAATAGACTGGCATGACGTTTTATTATATTCCCTTTAATATGGTCGAGGACGGTGATGGCTGTCAGATGCATCACACTTGTAAACTGCTGCTGCTTGTGTGATCTGCTCAGGTTTGCAACATGAGTAAAGAAACCATGCAGAGGGAAAGCTTCTAAAGAGCTGTCAAAATGTTTACCTATTTTGGTAGGGTGGACACAAGAGGATAATATTAAATAAACGAAACGTTTATCAGTTTTTTTTATGATAAACCTCTGAAAAAAAAATTATTTTTTACCAACTGTACCAACTAACAACTTACTCAAATTTTTTTGTTTACTACTTTTGTTTTTGATAAATTGTTGTGCCTTTTAGTTGGTAAATTTTAAATGTTTTCTTAAGTAATCTAATAGAAAGCGCTTACATGGTATGTACAAGATTGCACACGATTTAATATATCACTATCAATATTAACAATGATTATTTCGAAATCAAAAAATTCGTGAAATTTTTGCAATTCAACTATTAATAATTGTTATTAATTGTAAATATAATATGTTCTATTATTATTCATACACACAGTAGTAAACCATATTTACCCTATATTTTACGACATTTTTTACTCATTAAGTTGTTATTTTTGAATCTGCAGCATGTTGAGCAATGTGCACACCCAAGTTTGAGCACTGGCCGAGCTGGTTTAAAGCAGTTTCTCTCTGTAGGTGACAAGCCGTCAGGCCGCCAGTGCTGATGCACCACTTTGCCTCTGATAGGTTTCTTTACTCATTTGGGTTTGCTATGCACTGATGAGCTTAAAATATTAACATACTTTTCTATTTTAGTATTTAGTATTTAGTAGTAGTATGTCATAGAACATGATCGAGTTACCTATAAGTCTTTAGTTTAGTTTACGACGGGCTGTTTTCTGCAACTCCACGTCTATGCGAGTATTTTGCGTGTGGGCAGGAATAATATACTTATTCGAGCCATGAGATCTCCCCGAAGAAGCTCAATAGTCCTTTGATGTTGCATGCAACTTCGGGGAGTGATCCCGGCGTGCCGAGATGTTTAGCCCTGTACGTAGCGACCTCCGGACATTTCAATAGCACATGGGCCGCCGTTTCTTCTTCCCCCGTACATGTCCTGCACAAGGGACTATCTGTAACACCTATAGTAAATAAATGCTTGTTAAAGTTGTCGTGTCCTCTGATAGCACTTGTTACTATCCTGATCTGCGGCTTGTTCAGTCTCATTAGAACTTTGGTTAGACAACTATTTATTTCAGCCAGGGCCTCCCTAGCTCTGGATTTTTCCAAAGCTGAGCGTGTAGATTAGTGAAGTGTCTACGTACCAGTGAACGAACATTACCAAAGGAGATTGGTATGATTGGTTCCGGCCCTATAATGGCCAGAACCGATCCTCTTCTGGCCAGTTCGTCTGCTGCATCGTTGCCTCTGGATCCACTGTGGCCCTTTATCCATTGCAGAGTCACATTGTTGTTTTTACATACCTCATTTAATTGTTGATGGCATTCATATATTAGTCCAGAGTTCACCACAATGCAACTCAGAGCTTGTATTGCCGCCCTACTGTCGGTCAGTATTCTGATGGGGAAGTCATTAACCTTCCTAGCATCTATTGCTATGGCCGCTTGAATGATACCCATACATCCCGCCTGAAAGACTTTGTTATAGGTACCCAGCGGTGTGCATATGTGGATATTGAGGTCTTCAGAGAAAGTTCCAGAACCTACACCTTCATTTGTTTTAGAACCATTGGTGAAAACTCTAAGCTCTTTTGGGTTTAATCCTTCCGGCTGGATGGTTTCATTTAATTGTATCTTATACTTCTTATCGAATACAAATTGTTTAGGAATCTTATCGTACTTGGCTTGTAAGATAGGAATTTTTGAGTGAATTCTATCAATTATGCCTGTATGAGGGACACTATTCTTACTCCAAAGATTTAGGGTCTTGAGTCTGATGGCAGCTAAAGTCGCTTCTTGTTTTATATGTAGATGAAGCGGGGTTAGCTCTAGCATCGCTTCTAAGTCTGCTGTTGGCTTAGTCCTTATGCAGCCATACATGCCAGCCTCTGGTAGCGCTGAAGCTTCGTTATAGTGGTCTTATACCTATAAGTCTTATTATTTTACTTTTTATAAAATTTGCTCTGTATTTAAAAAACGACAAAAAATGAGGATACCTCTGGAGCAAAGATGTTTTATAGGTCCAGATACCGTGTACGCGCGCCTAAAACGCTTCCATTTCAAAGGCGCCAATATTGGCGTATTCGTTCGATCGTTCCGCCATTACGCCAGCGACGTTCGCTGTGAACATACGTCACGCACCGGTGTTTTTAATTTCGCAAAAGGACTGTTTGGGCTGTGAAATCATTTAAAAATTACTCTTGGAAAAAATATAAGGATAAGAACATCACTTTTCATAAGTAACTATACAATTTTATGGTGTATTTCTTTGTAAAAGAATACGAAAGCTAAATGTTACTGCGCAATAATATTCGAGTGTTGCCTAGTCTATGAAATGTTTTTACCATTTTTTAATGTCATGATCAACCACAAAGGTTATCTGTATAGGGGTTTTAAACAGTCTAATTCTACAGATTTTACCCAACCTATAGAGTTAAACCGTTTTAAGGGTTAGGGTTGAACTACATCTGGCAGCATGAAATTGCACTTTCCTGTGCTTCTATCCTTTTTGGTCACTCAGAACCGTTATAGTAGTAACCGGTATAGTTCCACCCTCAAATATCCGATTGTAAACCGGTTTTAAAAGTTTATCTATCATTCTTGTTAATTCATACTAATATAATATTATAAATGTGAGTGTGTTTTTTTTGTTTATTTGTTTTTGTCCTTCCTTCACGCAGCAACGGAACGGAGCAATTTAAAAAATTAAACATTTTGCTATCTCTTGGCTGAAGTTTACGCTTAATCAAACTTACTTTTTTTCGTCATTTTACTTAGGATTGAAAAATAATTTATGTCTTCGTAAAAAGCGGCAATATTTTGTGTTCTACAGTGCAAAAGTGTAGTACTCTGTATACATTTAGTAATAATAGATTATAAATATATGTTACATACATAAATATCTACTGTGCTTTTTTATTTATTTTAACTGTTACATTAATTATAGGTTAGGTTTAGGTATTTATTACATATCTTCAATATTTTAGTGCGATGTTCGTACCTATATAAAACACACATAAGCAACCATATTTTATACTCTTAGAATCAATAGGTACGTCAATAGGAATGTAATATAAAATCTCCCACATTTTTTGGGTAATCGATTCGCACTGTTATTACCGAAGTCACGCACATTAATGCAGCCATGGTGCGTAAAGCCGATATTACACGGATCAACCAAATTGAAACAATTCCATTGAAAAGCATTGAACATTGCACATTGAACGGCTTTACCAATATACACGTAAATCATTTAAATGCCATTCAATGTTCACAGCGCAATGAGATGTCGCGCCAACAACGGAAATTTCGTTAATCTGCTACTATTTAATAAATGTGTTAAATAATAAAAAAACATGCGTGAGTGTCGTGGAACACTCGGTTGAAACGAAGTTCCTTTCATAGTATATTATTAATGAGAAACGTATTATATTATTGATTAACAAAATAAATACAAATAAATAAATAACTAGCGTCTATTAAAATGAAGCGTCATTTAAAATAAAAAATAAAGTTCCTTTCGTAGTGTAAATTTCGTAGTGTGATAAACGTATTATATTATTGATTAACAAATACAAACAAATAAATAATACAAATAAAAAAATTTTGCACACTATGACACAAGGGGTAGTGACGAAAATATCTTACACTTCTTGTCGCCTAGCTCCCATGCGCCAAACCCGTACCGTCCGTTCAAACTTCGTTCCAAAAAAAGAAACTCTCGGCGTTGGTGGGTGTGCCCGTGGATTTTGAGAAGGATAACTAAAGGAGCCTTAAGCACCTTATTAGTATAATTGGCAGAAGATCCAAATTCTTATTTGAACCATTTGTGAATGACAGAGTGTCAATATAATGAAACTTCTGAAAACCCATTTTCACGCCACAAAATCTTTGTGCGCACGCAAAATAGGTGTCGTGCGGTGCGTGGAATGAGTTATCTTTCAATCTTCATGTATACACGTTTCAACCGCATTGAACAATGGCCAATATTGCTACCATTGCATTGAAAGCGTTCGTTGAATCTAAGCTTTCAATGAGATTACGCGATCGCATTGAAATGTATTTAGATGTATCAATGCCATTGAAGCAATGAAATTGAAAGCTGTATTGAACCGAAATTGATCCGTGTAATATCGGCTTAAGATATGCGCGTCACGTGGTACTCACGCACACATGAATCAAAGACTGTCTTCACTATGAACGTTGCGGTGTGTTAGCAACACGGTATCTGGACCTATAAAATATAAAACATCTTTGCTCTGGAGTTTCTTTCTCTGTTTATTCAACGATCAGAGAAACCTCATTTCGAAACTGTAGTAGATTTCTAGAAAAAATGACGTGCGAAATGAAATTTTAATTTCATATGCCTAAGAAATATATTTAATTTATTTCAATGTCTGTCTAAATAAATAATAGAGTCTTATGTTTTATTCATTTGATCCATAAGATAAAGATATAAAATATAAACAATCAAAAACTGTTCCTTAATATTTATTTATCTACAAACTAATTTAACAAAGAAAAATCACATTTTTTTTACATTTTCAGAACTATCCTCTAAATTGCCAAGTTTGAAATCTATTGGTTTATCGTAACCCATAATTTTGGCATAATGTGATGGATCATTAAAATGCCTAGCCTCAATGAATAGCGGCGTGTTTTTAGCTAACATTGTTGTGAACATACCCGGGATATCAGGAACCACTACATCTTCAGTTTTGAATTCCAACTGCAAAAAAGAAATATACAGTTTCTAGTCTGTTAAATAAGAATCATTCACTGTGTGCACATAGTAATCTTTCCTAGAGAATTGTATTTTATTTGAAGGATAACTACATGTTCAATTATCAAGCATTGTGTCAAACCACAATTCAAACACAATAATTTAATGAAAATCAATTCTATAATAAATAACAAGGACAATATTTCATCTGTAACACCCTCAATTAGTGTAAGGTTTAGGCATGTATCACTGCTTATATATCAAGTGATAAAATAAATCACATGCCACACTAGTCATATCCATCAAAAACTGTTACAATAGCTAAGTGTGATTTAACAAAGCTAGGCCAGCAAAAGTATAAAACATTAACATGCATGGACATGTTTCACTCACCAGCTAGAAATCTGTTTGTAAAATTGAATCTTATACTCAATAGTGTTGGGCTTTTACTTTCTTGAACTTGTTTATAAGCACTCATGGGAATAATGTGGCATGATAAAAACTTCATAGAAATTGAATCTTAAAATGAACACTTAAGCTTTAATTTAAGTAAGTCATTGATGTTTTTAATTATATTGAAATAACTTTGTGAGTGTGAGAAATAAATTCACTTATTACTGTTACTTACTGACAACAATACCCTGCAGTGGCTCAGGGATATTGTTAAACGTAGGTAGTGATTTTTAACTGATTAGTCTTATTATCATGTGTAAATACTTTTTTGAAAAATGATATCTATGTGAATCTCATTAGCTTTACCACATAATAAATAATAGTACAAGAACAGAAGGATCACTCTCTGACAGCAAACTTGCAAGGTTAAACCTAGTTACAACATCACTAATGTTCATAATACTTTGCACACCTCGGAAGCGACCCTCATGAAATTAGCCTATGTCGAAACAAAAATTAATACAGCATGTGTATTAAATCAAAATGCACCTTACGTCCGCGTGCGTGTGTCTGTATCACTTAGCCTGTTACGCGCCTTTGATAAGGCCGCTCCTACTGTAGGGTTAGGTGTTGTGAGAAAACAAATTGAATCCATTGGTATTAGTTGGTATATAGAATACATCGAAGTGTTATGCAATGTATTAGTATTTGTTTTATTTTGTTAAAAAAAACGTTAACCCCACACTAGTATTTTCTCTAGTATCGTGGAGGCAGTTAACAAACATAAATTGCACAAGGACAAACATCTAGACCCAGAACAATTATTTGTAGGCCATACAACAATACTTGTTCCATGCGGGATTCGAACCCGCGGCCAGAGCATTGCAACTCATTGCTAAGTCACTGCGCCACGGAGCCATCGATTTGCTGATAATACATTATTGTTCAATGTGAGGAAGGTTAATATGTAACATAGAGGAAAATTAAGATTATAACGACGTGAACGTCTTTGAAACTCAGATAATTTACCTACCTACCATTTTTAACCGACTTCAAAAATGGAGAAGGTACTCAATTCGACTATATTTTTTTATGTGTTACCTCAGAACTTTTTTTCTAGGTGAATCAATTTCAATGATTCTATTTTTATTTGAAAGCTGGTGCTTATAATTTATACATCCCATATAAATTTGATCAAGATCTAACCAGTAGTTTTGGAGTTATCCTTAATAATGCGTATTAATATTGAAGATGGTTGTACAAAATTTTTGTTTTCATTAGTTGTTCTCTCTTCCTCTCTCTTTAAAAAATTACCTCCGCACTAGGATTTTCTCATGTATCGCAGGGACAGTATACATACACAGAACAGACCCAGAAAAATGATTTGTAGGCCATATAAATACTTGTTTCGTCCGGGATTTGAACCCGCAGCTCTAAGCGCTGCAACTCATTACTAAGCCACTGCACCACGGAGCTGTCACTTGTCTGTTTCACATTTTATGCTATTTACAAACATACGACATACAACTTCATTATTTAATGAAAGAGTTGCAATAAGAAGTGCCGTTATTTACAACCTCTCTTTTATCAACCAAGTGTTAAACTAATATCCAGTATATTATGCTAATATTGCATTAATAGGCAGTCACTAGTACTAGGAGGTCTACTTACATTGCATGAATTTAAGGTCATTGGCATTATATGTGAAAAAAGGAAATTGTGAAGCTGTGGTCGGGTCACTTATCAAATAATAAATCTGTAACTATGGTGTCACTAACTAAGTACCAAATTATCTAGATCAACCTATAAATAATAATATATTACTTTTCGGTATCCTTAGGAACAGTAAAGAGTGAAAAGCCAACATTCCTATTGTTATTTAAGCACCCGCATGCTATGCAGTTCCCTTTGGCTTAAAGACTCAAAAATAAATAATAAAAGTGGCTAAATACTTATAAGAGAAAAATATTTTTTTGTTAACGAGAGTGCGTGACAACCTCACGCAATTAGACTCATGTAGGGGGCAGCACAGCGTAGGTATATTTTCATGCCTAAAGTCCACACTTTAGGCATGAAAAGTAGTGGCCTACAGGCCTATCTCACTCCACAGTGAGATAGGCCTGGCTTTACAAGCAATCAAGAATCAATCATAAACATGGGATCATTACAAAAAACTGAATTAACTTTAAAAAATTGATGCCAAACAGTTAAGCGCTGAGCTCTCAAGTTAGGAGTCACTATCACAGCAACATAAAATGGATGGAAACATAATATATAGACATGGTTACAATAATCGTCTCAAGTAAAATATACTTAAATGGATGTGATTTATCATGCTTGATACAACAGTAACAAAATAATTACTTCAGTATGTTATAATTTTTAAATTGAGCTATAATTTCATACCTAGTGAGGATATCACACACAGACAAAACAGTATCAGTAGATAATATGATGCTATGAACTGAAATAAAATGGCAATATGTCAGACTACTTCTATATATGTTTTAAATCTAACAGGCTATTTGATGATCATTTAAAAGTATGCCTTGATTATTCATAAAAATATAGTTACCTTTTTCGGAACAAGGAAAAAGTTAATTGTGACTGCCTTATAAGTTGAAGTCTCTGAATCATAGTACATTTCTGTCACATACTTTTTTGTGATGATATGCAATAATAGTGGAGTTACAAATGTAAAGAAACCAACCACCGAGCAAATTGCTACTAAAAGCGATGTGCTTCCTATACTTGATGCTTCCTTTAAAATTATAGGTTGTGCAAGCAAACCAGCTGCACTAGAAGAGAGTGAAAACACCTTTACTGCCTTTATTTGTGGCGTCAGTGGGCCGTAGTATATTCGTTCTAGCTTGGTTTCATCATTTGATTTATTTGCGTAGTGCCTGTCTATTATTTTTTGAATTCTACTAGTGCATTTAATGCCTGGTAAGATATCTTTAAATGCAGATATATTCAGGCATTGATCTAATATATTTCTATGACATAAACGCAGCATTATTGCTTACAGTATGAATTAAATAGACAAACTTATAAATATGATTCAAAATTATCTCTTTATTTCCGCAATTTTAGTTATTTTGATTTTGCAGGTTAGCATAGTGTAGTGATCGGTCAACTCGAATTACTAACTCGAGTTAACTCGAGTTGCGCTTAACTCGCGTTAAATCGAGTTGGATCTCCCTAACTCGAGTTTGGACTACTGTACATGAAAGGATCAAATGAGACATCAAAAGAGTAAGTTGCGCGCGATTCGTTCGTTGTGTGCGCGCTTTGTGTTTCTAAGAGTATTTAGCTACAACCAAATTTGTTATTTCGAATTTTATAATAGCTAAGTTATGAAATTTAATTTGTTTTATAATTTTGATTAATAATTATTAATTTAGTTATGTAAGTCACAGACCTATTATTGTAACACCCAAAAAGGGTGGTTAAGTTGTAAGATACATCGTATTTTAAATTAACGCTAAATGTAACACTTAACCTACAATAAACATTTTGAATTACGTGAAAGAGCCATTCTGTAGCTATATTATGATTGCTGCACGAATGGGTCGGCTTGACCAAGGTAGGGCCACGCTCTCACAGTATATCAACGTAAAATAACTGCTTAATGCTGCTGTGTTTCGTATAGTAAGTGTAGAGAACTGGAGACCCTTATTACTGGAAAAGAGGCATTCCATCTCACTCCTCAGGTGTGACAACGCATCTGCATTTTGATTTTTAATTTGGGATAAATGTAGATGTCAATACCACAGAATCTACTTACCATTAGGTGGACTGTGTGCTCGTTTGTCACCCTTATTCTTTATAAAAAAGGAACTTGAATAAATTTGAATTTTGTTAAGAATATTTTGACTGTGATAATTAAACTATTAACAGCTTATGTACCTACATCTTAAAGCTAGGCCAATATTGTTTCGTGAAGACTGATATATAGCTAGTTTTGTTGTTAAATACAGATACTTATTATAACTAAGATTACAACCAAAAATACATAAGTATGTGTGACTATATATATTATATTCCTTTTTATTTCAATTTAACATAATAAGTTTGTTAGTTAAAGTTATCCCAATATACCAAAAAGCTAGATAGAAAAACAAATGGGTAACAAATCATTTACTCTGTTTGGTACTGCTAACTCGAGTTGAGTAATTCAAGTTTAAACTCGAGTTGCGTGAATTTCAACTCGAGTTAACTCGAGTCGTAATTTTTCCAGTTGGCACATCTATATGTTAACAGTTAGAGTTAGGGATGTTCGATGATCATCAATGTTAAGAATTAAAACATCGATGTTGACACATTTCAAACATCGAAACATAGATGTCAATGAACCCATAATCGATTATTAGGAACTTGCGAATAATGCGAACCTGCGAAATCAATATCAACTAAATCTCTTCTGAAGATTTAAAATTTTGAATAATTCAGAATTCCTGAACGCATCGCTTACCTAAAAATATATCATTATGGTGTGTCAAACTTAATTGTCAAGTGTCACCTGTAATGTCACAGTGGTCACTGCTTTCGCTTTATTTTGTAGTGTCGTTTTCGGTTGTCGTATTCTACGTAAATTGATATTCAAGTTAACTGCTACTTTTGCCCTCGCTGTGTATACCCACATAATTTTGAAACAATATGTAAGTATCTACACATATACAAAAAACATCGATAATGTTCAACATCGATGTTTTGAGTAGGCTAAACATAGAACATCGATGTTGAGCTATCGATGCCAACACCGATGTCATCATCGATGTTTCTGCAACATTGATCATCCCTATTAGCAGTCATATTTTAGTTTTTATTTTGTGGTTGTTTGCTTGTTTGTTACACGGTTACAATACGGCAGTTAAGGGAGGCAAACGTATTAGACCATACAATCTAGTTTAAGCTTTTAAGGTATTCGCATAGAGCAACACGGGTCACAGGCCACATTACCGGCTGACCGGAGGTGAGTAGCCATTTTTTAGGTATCTGTATAGTATATTAGGAGTCTTTAATTTTTTGCGGGGTGCGGGAAGAATTCTGCGCACATGAAACCAATCGTCTGTCACTACGAAACTCATACAGAAGAATTAATACAATATAGTAACAATTTCACACACAAATAGACACATTATAACACTATCGCTCGGTGACAGCGACCACTCGTTTATAGACTCATACATTTAACTGCTTCGTTGGTCTAGACCAGGGGTCGGCAAACTGAGGCTCGCGAGCCACATGCGGGTCTTTGGATGTGAAGCTGCGGCTCTTTAGTTTCATACGCAAATATTAATTATTTTATAAAAAAAAAAACATTTAAAAATCGATTCACACTGAGCCATTTGGAGTTGATATTGGATCTCTAGAAATGCAATTGATCGATTTAAAAAGTAAAGCTGTGTGGAGTTGGAATTTTACAGAGTTGAAACTGGTAACATTCATTGCTACGCAGACGACAATACTGGTGATGGCTTATATACCGGCCGTGCCAATATTTCTCGGGAAAACGTCGCCGAGTATCGGGACAAACTTGTGTCTGAAGTCGATTCTTCTGAACAAAGTCTCGGATTAAGGGCGACTAAATCTAGTCCAATTCAATCCCCAGACGACACAAATTTACCGCTAAAAGAACCCCTTTGTCGTATCTCCTCAGTTTCAAGGCACTCCCTTTACTTACAACGAATGTTAAAAATCTGAGTACCAATGTGTTTTTAAATGGGAAAGAACTGAACCCTGTTAAATTCACTGTTTTTCTTGGCATCACTCTCAACGCAAAGCTTTAGTGGGGCCCCCATATGTCCAAACTAGCAAGCAGACTAAGTTCTGCAGCCTATGCTGTAAAAAAGATCAGAGGTCTCACTAGTGTCGAGATAGCTAGATTAGTTTATTTCAGTTATTTCCATAGCATAATGTCTTATGGGATTTTGCTATGGGGAAATGCGGCTGATTCAGTAACTATTTTTGTTTTACAGAAGAGGGCCATTAGAGCTATTTACAACCTAAAACCGAGAGAGTCTCTTAGCGATAAATTTAAAGAAATAAATATTTTAACTCTGGCCTCTCAGTATATTTACGAAAATTTAATGTATGTTCACAAAAACAATGGTAGTTTTATAAAAAAAAGTGATGTACATTCTGTAAACACTAGGTACAAACACAAGCTAGTGATACCAGTTTCTCGACTCCACAGTCAGTAATTCATTCATGGGGCAATGTATACGCTATTACAACAGGTTCCCGGAAAGTGTACAGGCTCTCTCTATTACCAAGTTTAAATGTTTTGTTAAGTTGAAACTGTATAAAAAGGGTTATTTTAGTATAAATGAATACATGGTTGATAATAACCCCTGGGAATGAGGTGGTTGCTTCCAAGCTCTTTCTAAAATAAATTTTGTATCCATCAATCATTAAGGTAAAATATGCTTTTAAAAAATATCCCGCTGGGTTTCTTGCTGGTTCTTCCCAGGACAGAGGTTTTTTTCAAACCAGTGGTAAAGTAAAAAATGACTCAAAAAGAATTACACATGTGATCTATATTGAATAAAAAATTATTCTATTTTATTCTATTCTACTGCCTTGGCTAGCATCGGAATCCTCAGCGTCGACATATCGAATAGTGTGCAGTTTCGTGGTCACTTGGAAGGGAAGGCCAAATTGGCCTCAAAAGCTTGGCGTGCTCAGCAGAGCGAGACAGTATTTCATGTTGACACATCGATTGCAACTTTACAAAGCGCAAATCCGGCCTCACATGGAATACTGGTCTCATCTCTGGGCCGGGGCACCCCAGTGCCAGCTTCTTCCACTTGAGCGCATCCAGTGCAGACCGGTTCGAATCGTCGACGACCGAGTTCTTTCTAATCGGTGCGATACACTAGTACTGCGTAGGTATGTTGCATCCCTTTGCATTTTCTATCGAATTTACCACTGGAAGTGATCTGAGGAATTGTTCAGGTTAATTCCAGGCGCCAAATTTCACGAATGTACATCGCGTTAAAATTTACGATACCATCCTCACCATCTGGATGCTTGGCGGTCCACGACTGTGCGTTTTCCTATTAGTTTTCTTCCTCGTACAACTTCTCTGTGGAATTGTTTACCACCGGTGATTTTCCCGGACCAATACGACTTAGGGACCTTCACGAAAATCATCGATCACGAAATCTCCAATTCCCCTGGTGTTGCGGTTGTTCATGGGCGGCGGTAGTCACTTACCATCAGGTGAGCCGCATGCTCGTTTATTTTATCTTCTATAAAAAAAAGCAAGTTGAAAGCGTTAGAGGTCCAGAAATGTATGTACGTAACGCAATAAAAATGAACAGCTTTAAAAGAAATGCCGCGAGTTGAGACACTTATATTCGACGCATGGATAGTCTTCCAGATTGCTACAGTGAGGTGAAGAAGTTGGCATTTGGAGTGCTGACTATCTTCGAATCGACATATTCGTGCGAGCAAGCGTTCTATTGCATGAATATAATTAAAAGTAAAGGAAGAATGAAAATTCAGAGTCGTGTTTGAAACTTAAAACAACAAGTTATGAGCCAAATTTATCCAAACTTTCTTAAACCACTAAGTGATTATCTAATAATACCACACATACACACACACACGCACACATACATATATATTTAATCTAATAATTAGGTAAAGATAGAAATTACATTTTAATTTATTGTGAAACACACTATTTATATATGAATAAATATATATTTTTCTTACGAATAAATAGTTTAGTTTTTTAAAAAATCTTTATTTATGCAAGTACTATTTATGGTTGGCAAGAAAAAAAATTTTGGCTCTTCAAAAACTTTGAAATTTTGTAAATTGTAATTTTTGACTCTTCCGACTCAAACGGTTGCCGACCCTGTTTTAATAGATCTTTTTGTTTGTCCTATGTAAGAGAGACCACATTCATAATCCAGCTTGTACACTCCTGCACCTTGTAGAGGGATATGACACTTGACGGATGGTAAAAATTGACTAATCTTCTTCGGCGGCTTGAAGTATGTTTTAATGGAAGCTCGCTTCAAGATGTAGCCAACCTTGTCTGTGACTCCTCTGACAGAGTGTAGTACAGCAGGCACACGCTCGACTGTGGCCGGCTTCACTCGGTCACTGTGACGTAGGCGCGGGACCCGAAGTTCGTTGTCTTGCAATACTTGCTCGACGTGCTGAAGCTCGGCGGCCAGATGTTTTCTGTCACAGATCCCTCGTACTCTCTGAAACAAAGATTTTCCCACGGTAGCTAACTGTGATGGATGATGAGCTTCCATTAAAACATACTTCAAGCCGCCGAAGAAGATTAGTCAATTTTTTTAATTGTTTACTTAATTAATTTGTAAATATTTTCGGAGTAGCACGAATGGGTCGTCTCGATCGGGGAAGGACCACTCTCTCACAGAATACCAGCATAAAATGGCAGCTTGACACTGCTGTATTTCTTATGGTGAGTGTAGAGAATTGGAGACCCATTTTATTTGAAAAGACGCATTCCGTCTTAGTCCTCATGGGTGACGACGCATCTACATTTTGATTCTTTTTTGAGGTTCAATGTAGATGTCTATGGGTCACAGCAACCACTTACCATCAGGTGGACTGTGTGCTCGTTTGTCACCGTATCCTATGAAAAACTTATTAGTATACTCAATATATCGATAAAATTATTCGAGAATAGACATTCTCAGCACTATTATAATTCGCCTATGTTGTCAGCACTGTTTGTCAAAAATTAAATGTCATGTCATGATGTTGGTAGAGTAGCTTGGCGCCCGTTCATACATTTACTTTTTATTAGGAAGTCCCGCCTCTTAAACATAGTGACTATTATTTATTCTGTGGTAGTAATCATATTCTCTTTGGAGTACAGTAATGTTTATAGGGACTCATCAAAACCAAAGAGTATATAATCATTACGTTTACTCAGAACAATAGACAAGAGTTCGTTAAAAAAAATAAAAGTTATTGTATTGTATTAGATTCGTTACTAAATTACGCTTCTCTAAATTATGCTAATATACTTCAAATAACGAGTTTGTGCTTTTACTGTCCCGTTTACTTCATACACTTAAGTCTGTTTCCTTCGCCGCGTGAGTGCAAGAGGCAACTTCAATTTAAAAAATTAAGTAGGTACAAAAGAAAGTTTGTTGATTAGTTTTTATATAAAAGGTAAGTAATTACACAGTTTTTAAAAGTTATTTGCTTACATTTTGTCTCGTAACAATTTTATACATTTCGTTCACCTATGAAATAAAATAATCAGAAGGAACTGAAAATGAAATATAAAGTGTGAGTTAATACTATAAATCATAACAAAGTCCAATGTGCGAAAATTACGTTTTATGTTATAATTTCCATATATCGTGAATATTATGGCGAAGTTGTTTTCAATAAAAATGATGTTGATCAAATAAGTTGGTCAAGATAGCGTAATAAAGTATATACCTATGATTGATTTTTTATTTATTTACACAAATACCTCACCTCAGCAACGCTGCCCTGAACATCGCACGAAATACCCGCGTTCCGCCAAGATAAAAAAAAATGTTACTTTGTTGTCTTTTTTTCTTCCTACTATTACATTTATCTTATTACTCTTACACCAAACACTTACCGTTACAGCCTGTTTTAAGTCCACTGCTAAACATAGACCTTACCCATATATTGCCTCATAGGGGGTATATTTGCCATAGCGTGTACTAGAACGGTACACCGACTAGACATGAGGATCTGAAATCGATTAATCGATTTCTTGTTCCAAAAAGATCGATTTTTATATCGATATTTAGCAGTGAATCGATATTTCACACTTGAAATCGAGATTCCATTTTTTCTATTTTGATAAGAGCCATAAAATTATTTGCAACTAGCTGTTCTCCGCGACTTCGCCCGCGTGTTATTTGGGGTTTTAATTTTTTTGCGCGGAACCCTCATTCTTTTTCTAAAACAAAAGTAACCTAAGTTACTCCTTGTGACATCAGCTATCTGTTAAAATCCCGTCAAAATCGGTCCAACCGTTTCGGAGATTAGCCGGAACAAACAGACAGACAGACGGACAGACAGACAGACAAAAACTGTAAAAAATGTATATTTGTTATTAGTACCGTATATACTTTCATATGAATTTAGTAAAAAGCTGTAATTTTGACATTACAAACAGACACTTCAATTTTATTTATTTGTATAGATTATCTGAGTGTACCCAAACACGTAAAAAACTTTTCACTTAATTATTTGAAAACCCGCAAAATGACTGTGTGCTCAATTTCTTACGTTTAAGAGTTTAAGATGGTTTTTTTTTTATAGTATAAGGGTGACAAACGAGCACACAGTCCACCTGATGGTAAGTGGTTGCTGGGGCCCATAGACATCTACATCTAACTTCGATTAAGAATCAAAATGCAGATGCGTTGTCACCCGTGAGGACTAAGATGGAATGCCTCGTTTCCAGTAAAAAGGGTCTCCAGTTCTCTACACTCACCATAAGAAACACAGCAGTGTTATGCTGCTATTTTACGCTGGTATTCTGTGAGAGCGTGGTCCTTCCCCGGTCGAGTCTTTATAGTTTCAAGTCTTGTTAAAATGTATTTTTTTTTATAGGAGAGGGGGCAAACGAGCATGCGGCTCACCTGATGGTAAGTGACTACCGCCGCCCATGAACAACCGCAACACCAGGGGAATTGCAGATGCGTTGCCGGCCTTTTAAAAAGGAGTAGGCTCTTTTCTTGAAGGTCCCTAAGTCGTATCGGTCCGGAAAAATCGCTGGTGGTAAACTATTCCACAAGGAAGTTGTGCGAGGAAGAAAACATCTTCTAAATCGCACAGTGGTGGACCGCCAATCATCCAGATGGTGTGGATGGTATCGGGAGTTCTGCCGCGATGTGCGTTCGTGAAATTTGGCGGCTGGGATTAATCCGAACAATTTCTCAGAGCACTCCCCATGGTAAATGCGAAAGAAAATGCAAAGGGATGCAACATCTCTTCGCAGTGCCAATGAGTTGAGCCGATCGGAAAGGACTCGGTCGTCGAAGATTCGAGCCGCTCTGCGCTGGATGCGGTCAAGTGGAAGGAGCTGGCACTGGGGAGCCCCGGCCCAGAGATGGGAACAGTATTCCACGTGAGGCCGAACCTGCGCCTTGTAAAGTTGCAGGCGTTGAGTTGGCATGAAATACTGTCGCGGTCTGCTGAGCACGCCAAGCTTTTTAGAGGCCAATTTGGCCTTCTCTTCCAAGTGACCACGAAACTGCACGTCACTCGATATGTCGATGCCGAGGATTCCGATACTGGCTGAGGTAACAAGGGGAGTACCTTGAAACTGAGGAGATACGACAAAGGGGTTCTCTTTAGCGGTAACATGTATTACTTAGAACCATTGCATTGCTTAGAACGCTCATAATATATAAATTACTTCAAATCAATAAATATGTATTTTTGGCTAAATATGTATCCCCTCACTTGTGTTAAATTGAAAAATTTGTTAACAACAACTCTGCTTAGCCTCAATTATGAAGAAACAGAACTGCTTATTTGCTAAACACACACGCACGCACACACACACACACACACACACACACACACACACACACACACACACACACACACACACACACACACACACACACACACACACACACACACACACACACACACACACACACACATACACTTTCATTCTTTCTTAAGTATCTAAAATTTACTTGTTAAAGCACTAATATAATATGTAATATCCTATGTTTCAAATTGTTAAAATTTGTCTGTTGGAAGAGCAGGGTACCCCGTAACACAGGTTTTACCAACCCAGTACAGGGGCCCTTGCCACTTGTTTGTTACTACCTTTTGAAACGCAATAAACGATTTTTGATTTTTTTTTGATTTGATAATTAAGAACCTATAAATCTGAAAGCACCACCCAGTTGATTTAGCCAATCGCTATATTTAAAAATCAATTGCAGTCCGTTAGTCGTTAGTTTAGGCCATACAAATAATTAGAACTAATAATTTTTCTGGGTCTAGATGGTTGCCCATGTGTAATATCTTTTTGAATTTATTTTATTAGTAAGTTCAACAGCATTTTTTTAACAATCATACATAGAAATACACATAAATTATGTCACTTAGCCAATAACAGATTTTCACAACATGCTTAATGAAACTTACGAAATAGTGAGGTAAATTTGTAACTTATAGTAATATAACATACATATACAACACTACATTTGAGGCCAAAAAATATTGCAGTATAGGATTCAGTATTATTTTGAATAAAATTTAAATTTGGTTTGGATTGGCATCTATTTTATCAGCAAAATATTGTATTTATATTATAAATTAAAACAACTATAATAAAAATTAAATAAACCGTCTTATATATTTATAACATGTTACATGTTATTTTATGTACCATTAATTTCTATATTTAACTATAATAACAAAAATTTTAATCGTTACTGATACAGAATTGAGACAATTTAAATGGAGTTCATGTAGAATAGCTATTACTTAAGCATTTTACACTTAAATCTTTCTCGCAATTTATAAAACGTGAACGTTAATCTCAATGATACAGGAGATACTAGCTGTGATCCTAGTGTTGGGAGTAACCTCACTTGATAAATATAATCTGATGGAATTATTACTTAAACAGCCTTTGTTTATTTAAACACTTACCGATTTCTTACAAATAAACGAGCAATACCTATTTAAGTCATTTTTGTAATATCACTTTTTGCTATAAACTATTCAAAATGTCTTGTAGGACAGTTGTCGATATCATAGCAGTAGCCGGAGTACGTATCCAGTACCATAGGCTCTGGACAGTCGCAGCGAGCAAATCCACAGGACACATCGATCAGTGCCGGCTCGGGCTGTTCACAAGTTTGCTGCGCTATCCAGTATGCCTGCTTGCAATCGCTTTTCTTCATCACCATCCATTCAGGACACGCGTCGACACCTAAAATTGATAGTAACTTATATTCTTTTATAGACATAAAGCAGTATGATTCGAACGAATATTGTAAAAAAAAATAAATAAAAAAAGAATCACTAAAATATCTTATAACTAGGGATTTATCTTACATGTGTTATTATGCCACAAACAATTTGTAATCAGATGCTCTTTGTGAGATAAAACAACACTTAGCCATAAAAATTGAATCACCCATTGTAACATTGTAACTGCAAACGAACTACTAAGCGGAAATCGCAAGTGTCTCTGATAATATTATTTAAATTGTTTTGATTAGGGAGGAAGAGATGTTTAGAATAACGTTTATTTTTAATCATACAACATAATAACGTATAGGATTACCATCATTTCACTGCGAGAATGCGGATACATTTCCATACGTTTACGCATACATTTCAAGAACCATTAGTGTTCTTGATAATCTATAATAAAAAAAGATAATCTTTAATAAAGTTGTTAATTTTATTATCATTGATTCGAAGGTGATATAAATATCGAATAAAACTTTGATAAACTTTAAGAAAACAGTTTGGATTATCTTTACACGGTGGAGGCAGTTTAAATACATAAATATTTCAAGGAAAAACATCCAGACCCAAAATTATTCGTAAAAGTAAAGTAAGTTTTTTTTTTATAGGATAATGGTGACAAACGAGCACACAGTCCACCTGATGGTAAGTGGTTGCTGCGGCCCATAGACATTTACATCTATCCTCTGTTACAAATCAAAATGTAGATGCGTTGTCACCCGTGAGGACTAAGATGGAATGCCTCATTTCCAGTAAAAAGGGCCTCCGGCCACCTGCACTCACCAAACGAAACGCAGAGGTAAACCTCTACTTCGCGCTGGTTTTCTGTGAGGTCGTGGTACCACCCCGGTTCGAGCCGGCCCATCCGTGCGACAGCAAAACCTACCGCGTGGCTCTACCACTGTTGAGCCTATATACGTCCCATTAACTGGGCACAGGTGTACTTTCATTTATGTTATTTCTGAGAGGGTTTTAAGGCAAGGTAATGTACACCGCGCTGGCCCAATGCGTGTTGGCGAACTTCACACATTATCATCGAAATATTTTTTTATTTCTCAGACATGCAGGTTTCCTCACGATGCTTTCCTTTACCGCCGAACACGTGATAAATTAGTACACAAAATTGTAATTAACATTTTCATTGGTGAACCCAGGATGCTCGCGTAATGTGAGGCGTACAGTTCTTTCGTAGGACATACACATTGCGGTCCCTGTGGGATTCGAACCCGCGGCAATCACCGCAACTCCTTGCAAGCCACTGCGCCATGGAGCCGTCAATACACATATCTCAATTATATACATTTATATCTTAAAACTATAAGGAAAACTTATTGAATTAATAAAAAAAATATCGCAAATATCGCTGTTCTTTTAAATTAAAGCCCTCTATGCAACAAATTTAGAGGAACGCAAAAAAAGGTGGATAAAATAAAATATCATGGATATTTGTGACAATTAAGTTTATTAATTTGGATTTTGCTTATTATTCGTTTATTTAAAATTACACACGTCGAAAAAACAAATTACCAAATGACAAAAATTAACCAAATTAAGAGTAACATAAATTAAAAAATTTAAAATCCCCCGAAACAAAAAGAGCTGATGATCTTTAAACGACTGAACAGATTTTCTTGAATCATAGCAAAGAACACTTGATCAAGTCACCTATCAACAAAAAAAATCAAAATCAGACAGACAGAGAGAAAAGAAAAATTTTACAGGAAAAAAACGTTATTGTACTTGATTTTTTTTTCATAAATGCTTAGGAAAGGCTATAACGTGGGCTATAATCAGTACTTAGTGTTTCTCTCTCTAGCACTTCGAATTGTTTCAGTCTCCTTAACATAATCAAGTTATCAATAAAATCTTGAGAGATTGCGTTTCATTCTTCCTGAAATGTGTTTTTAAAATCTCTCAAATCAGCGGGATCAGGATTACTTATCTTAATTTGTCTTCCAAGCTTACCCCATATATGCTCTACACCATAGCAATGATTTCAACGTCACGAAGGTATTCGACAATTACCGGCCGCAGTGTGGGGACGTGTATTATCATGTCTATATCTATCTCCTATAAAAGGGGCAAATGGCACTACAATTTTATCCAAACCCTCAGTTACATACCGTCCCGCTGTTCATTCTCAATAACGTGTACCCCATTTAATACCTCTCCATACCACACCTGACCCTCCATCTTTTCCAATAATGTTGCACAGAGCGTGCCGCTCTCCCGGCCGTCTCCATACTTTAATTCTTCTATCAGCTGGCTTCAGGCAAAATCTGGACTGATCTTTTGGTAGAACTTGACTCCAAGCATTTCATTTCAATTTTCGGGATTGCGAGCAAAATTAACTCGAACTACGATGGCATTTGGCAAGAAGGGGGCCTCTGGCGGGCAAGTGTGAATGTATTCTCACCGATTTCAGTCTTTTTCTAACAGTTTTTATGTTTAATGTAACCACAAAACTGTTACCTCAGAAAAAGATTTCTAAGCAGCTGCTAGTAAGCTGGTAACGATGAAATGGTCATCTCTGGCAGTTCACAGTTTTCCGTTTACGTCACAGTCCTGCGAGTCTCGTATACTCTGCCGATACCTAATGACATCTCGATGTACCACAGATTTTGATACTCGTACCTCAGTACTCAGTCAAGGCAAAAATTTAAACAAAACTTAAGTTTAAACTCAAATTCAAAAGTTGGCAAATATTTTCACAGTATGAAAGAACGTAATATTATATACGTAATAATAACGCAATAATAACATAAAAACAAATGTAGTTAAAAAAAACACAACTCAAAACTTTTTTTAATAGCATTTACTAATATTTGTGGCCAGTTTACACGATAATTACAAGAGGAGATTATTAAACCTTTTGTTTTTTTGCGTTTCTCTAAATTCGTCCATGAGTGTTTTTACTTCAACCAGATAAAACATTACAAGTAAAAACATTGAGTCTTCGAATTGAAAGAATATTGGTAAGCGATCCATCTCTTAAATGGAGCCCCTATTTTTGTTTAAAAATCAGACAATAGGTGTTTCGGTCTGTAATAATATGATGCAACTGGAAATGTATTATGTCTGTGTGACGATTATGTGGCTGTGTTTGAATCTTATTTAGATCAACATTTGTGCAAATACATGAATGATGGCTTTAGGAACTGGTTATATTGTGATTATCCTCGTGACTTTGAAATTGTATCGTAGCCATCCTGCGATCTTAGTGCCTCCAACCTCCACGTTGCATCGAGCTTCAATGCTTGCCAAACCCATACAAACACACGTGCGTATATTTACTTTCACAAACTTTCATAACTCCTTCCTAAACCAATAAGCAAAGGCATTTTAAATAATATTCTAACCTATATTTGTTATATTTGTACAATGGTACTCACCACGCTGGGCGGACGATTTGCGGAGCGCAGAGCCAATAATCGCGCACTAGTTATGTACGCGTGTACTTGAGGTACTTCAATATTTCCTGCGCAGTTGTCAGCTTCCGTTTATCTGAAATCGGAACAGTAATACGTTCATTTAAAGAGGCGACGGTGGAGCGGATAAATCCGACCTTAAGTCTAGTCTTCAAATGAGGTGACGACAATCTGGTCACTTTCAACGCCGCAGAAACGCAGGCATGTCTGTTCTTCGCAAAACGGAGTCCGTTTGATCTGACTCCTACGTTCCGAGGTATATTTGTAGAGGTTACTGATCATCTCGAATTTCTCGGCATACAGGTGAGTGCTAACCTCAACTTTGGCGCTAACATTGAGTCGAAAGCACTCTTTATACAAAGCTCAAATTCAAACATGCATGGAATATATTGTAGTCACCTTTGGAATGGCTCAGCAAAATATCGTTTATTGGCGAAAAAAAGCTGGCGAAAACTAATATTCACAGTTGCTTGTCTGCCGGTCTGCTACAGATTGTACTTCGAAGAGTGTGCCTATGAGCTTCATGAGCTGCGCCTATCGGAGTACCAGACGTACTGCAGGTTACCATTCACACTTGATATTCCGAATTTTTTTTTATAGGAGAGGGGCAAACGAGCATGCGGCTCACCTGATGGTAAATGACTACCGCCGCCCATGAACAACTGCAACACCAGGGGAACCAGGGGAATCGCAGATGCGTTGCCGGCCTTTTAAAAAGGAGTAGGCTCTTTTCTTGAAGGTCCCTAAGTCGTATCGGTCCGGAAAAATAGCTGGTGGTAATCGATTCCACAAGGAAGTCGTGCGAGGAAGAAAACATCTTCTAAATCGCACAGTGGTAGACCGCCAATCATCCAGATGGTGTGGATGGTATCGGGAGTTCTACTGCGATGTGCGATTGTGAAATTTGGTGGCTGGGATTAATCTGAACAATTCCTCAGAGCACTCCCCGTGGTAAATGCGAAAGAAAATGCAAAGGGATGCAACATCTCTTCGCAGTGCCAATGAATCGAGCCGATCGGAAAGGACTCGGTCGTCGACGATTCGAGCCGCTCTGCGCTGGATGCGGTCAAGTGGAAGGAGCTGGCACTGGGAAGCCCCTGCCCAGAGATGGGAACAGTATTCCATGTGAGGCCGAACCTGCGCCTTGTAAAGTTGCAGGCGGTGTGCCGGCATGAAATACTGTCCCGCTCTGCTGAGCACGCCAAGCTTTTTAGAGGCCAATTTGGCCTTCTCTTCCAAGTGACTGACAAGAAACTGCACGTCACTCGATATGTCGACTCCGAGGATTCCGATACTGGCTGAGGCAAGAAGAGGAGTGTCTTGAAACTGAGGAGATACGACGACAAAGGGGTTCTTTTTAGCGGTAAACGCGCAAACTTGTGTCTTCTGAGGATTAAACTGGACTAAATTTAGTCGCCCTCAATCCGAGACTTTGTTCAGCAAAGACTCGATTTCAGACACAAGTTTGTTAAAAGGTCGGCTTTGTCTTTTGTGGCTTGGGCCAGTGAGTCTTCCTCCCGCATATTCGCACTAAGCGCTTTAAGTCATCTTTTATAATGCGCACAGTCAAGGAGTGGAATGCCCTGCCGGCGTCTGTTTTTCCGAGTGCCTATAACCTGGACCTCTTCAAGGTGCGTATTAACAGGCGTCTTCTGGGCAAACTCGGTCATCTTAGCCCTCGGGCCAGATGGAGGTCAAAAATATAAGTATGGTGATATCCATGGTTACGAAGTCATTGTACATAACT